AAAAAAATAGTTTATTTTTAATCAGATACGATATTTCAAACAAATATCCGCGGAAGGACATTAGTTTAAATAGCATTATCAACGAATAATGAGTTACATAATAGGATCGGCGTAACATAACATTAAATTTCAGAGAAACAGGTAAATGCTATATCACATTTCGGTTCATGTAAATCCAAATTAGGAGAGAATAGCACGTTTATTTCATTTTCGGATTATTCGATGTCCTTTCGCTAATCGTAAACATACCGAATACGATAAAAAAACACGATTAATCAATTTGTATTCTAGTATGTTGTTTTTATAATTTACCTATATTTTTATGTATAATTTTTTTTTCACGTATATTTGCATTGATAAAAAATTCACCACAAATTTGAAGGATTCTTGTTAGTAACATACATTTATGAGCGTTCTGTGTTTAACCGGAATAACCAGGGCCATTGATACGCCTTCCAAACATCCGCTCAGTAACGAGAAAATCGATGCGACACGCATTGCGGACCTGGTTCCGCGACTCAACGGCGCGCTTCCTATCTCTTACACCCAGTTTCCGTCGAAAAGAAAGAAAAATGCCTGCAAACTTTTGTTTCGGCCTCCGACGCTCGTGCCCGCCCGCGCAATTATTTTTCTCCCAACTTCTCATTGTATTCGAGGACCGTATATTCTACCGCTGAACCACACGTATAAGCGTGACTCTAGCAAGTTCGACCTCTTGAGAGAACTTCCGAAATATTATCTTCTTACTCTTTCGGAATTACGTGCTTTTTCTACAATCACGTGGCAAGATGCCGACATGTGCTGCTTCGAGATTTCTTTATGAGCTTCATTTTTCCCTGCTTTTTATGTCTTCCTTCCTCTTTCCAAGCATAATATATGTAAGAGAAAAGATGTCAATGAAATATATGAAAAATACTTTACGGCAGAAGAGATGATATTATCCTTGTTAATCATATAATAGTCCTAAATATATACTTTTTTTTCAATATTATAAATAATGTAAAAATTTGTGAAGTTTTGTAAATCTTTCTATTCAAATAATTCAATGAATTTAGCTTCGTTGATGCAAATAATAAATTGGAAAGAAAATTTTTTATACTCTATTAAGGGAAGACATATAAGATGTCTAAATTTAATATATATATTATATATATTTATATACTCTCTCTTTGCTGCCAATTTAAAGAGATTTTCGTGAAATCTCAGAACATTTTGTCAGTAGATGAATTTAAGAAACTTTAGTCGATTATTTTTACAAACAAATACCTATTTTTGTTGAGAAATTATGACAAATAAAAATAAATGTACATTCTTTGTAAGATTCTCTACTTTTCTGGAGTCATGACAACATATATTTCTATCTTTTTTCATCGCTCTCTCGACTCATCGCGTTACATAAATCGCTTCTGACAAACGACCATCTGCCGTCCTAGAGAGTTTCTTTTATACCAGCTTATATTCCCGTAGGAATGCAAAAATGCAAGCGACTTTGTTTCATCGGACGCGGATGACCTGAACAATAATTTCGAAATCGATTATTCGAATAATCGATTACTTTTGAAATCATTATTATCGAATCGCATTAGCGGGAAAATAACGATTTCTTTTACTAGCTTTCTCGCAATTTCCATTTTTTACGTGCACAAGCGATAAAAAAATAACGTGTTTTTCACACATTGTTGCACTTAAATTTTATATTTTGAATATAAAATTTTCTGATATTACAATTAAAAATAAGATAGATTTTAAATCTGTATTTAAATATACATAATGGACTAAAAATTGTTCTAAACAATCTAAAAATTTTTACGCATTTTATTAATTAATAAATATATATGTGGATTAATATTAACTTTTTAAAGGAATAAAAAAGTCAAAATTCTATTTTATATTATAACACTTAATATATATTATAAATTATATACAATAAAGAGAATACATTTACATACTTTTTCAAAAACTTTTCAATTATGCATTCATGAAATATTTGAATATTTAAATGTATCCTAGAAAAATTTTCATCTACTTAAAATATGTTAAATAAATTTTAATTATACGGTATTAAAAAGCCGAATTTGTTATATACTTTTAAAATCAATAAGGGGATAATTACAATAGAACTTTAATATAGAAAGAGATATTGTATTTAATTATTGTATTTAATTATTAATTGTATGTACATTTGCAATGATAAACCATTCTACATATAACAGAACAAAATCTAAGCGAAACTTGTAGGAAGTAAATGATTGTAGATTACTTTTTTCATAGGAGATAAAGCTTCTTCTCGTCAGACAGGTCGATCGTCGCTCGTCAGCGCTCTCCGGCAGGATGTCACATCGAAACATACAATAGAAAGTGAAGTCCTTCCCCCTCTCTCTCTCTCTCTCTCTCTCTCTCTCTCTCTCTCTCTCTATTTATCTATCTCTCTCGTTCGCGCGATTGGAAAGTGATTTTTCCGCATCAAAAATTCGCGATTGTCTGAATGCATCCGAGAGTGAGGGGAGAGATCGGCTCGCGTCTAAAATTTCCAAGGCGTGTGAATGTGATGTCGCACAGTTATGATACAGACATTATGTACAAATTCGCGATTTAGTATGCTGATGCTAACGCCGGCAGGACGTTCATTGAACGGCAAAACAGGTCGGTCCAACGCATTCGTCGCATTGCTGATTAGGGCACATCGCCATTAGGCTTAATCCATATGTAGACGCATACGAAATACGTGCCAAAGAGACATTGGTACGTGCGTGCGTGCGTACGTGCATGCGTGCATGCGTGCATGCGTGTTATCACGGGTCGAGATGTTAACATGTGTCCGATAAGCGAGTTAACACGCGTGTTTCTACAGACTCGTCTTTTAATCAATTATTTAATTCATCTGTCTGCATCATTATTTCATTCATTTTGTTTGCACGACGACGTGGATCGTTAGAGTAATGACAAACGAGGAAGGGAGTGCTCGGCGTTTGATTTGTTACTTCTCGTTTTCTAGCGATAAACTAATGCATTCAAAATTATGCAAAATTATGCCGATATCATTGCGTTGATACTTTGATGTCAAGATCTTTACATAATCCTCTCTCTAGTATTGTGTGAATTTAATTAATAGAGTAACAATTTGTTCGATATTAAAGATAGCGCGTAATTAAATATGCAATATAAAACGACATTGTTTAACGTATCTCTTTGGTAAGGTGGATGTTTAGCTGGATTATTATTCGATAGGATAATTATTACAAAAATAAGGAATTGATAAAATGGCATTATAATGAACGTTGAATGCATTTTTCAGAAATTGATACAACAATATCGCTATCGTCCAATTACATTCTTTTAACAGGTAATTCAATTCTGCATTGTTTTGTTTATATAATAGGACATAACATGATATGGCGATCATTGAATACATGAAATAAATAGTTATAACTGACTGCAAAATAGAAGTAAATATATATCGAGAAATATAATCGTGCAATGTATAAAATTTTTTATGACTAACTAACGATCGATTTACAGAGGTAAAATTTAAAGCGCGCTTCGTCATTATTTCCGTCGATAGAATGCTTATTTATGCGTGACCCGCAATAATCGCTGGCGATTATTGTATCAAACTGTCGCGCACACACGGTGAACTTCGATTCGATTATTCAACCGTTTCGCGTTTATTTGCGATTATAAGATTAACTTTCATACGCGTATGCTGCCTTTATTGTTATCCATCCGCGTTAATTGATTTTTACTGGCTCTTGATCATGTGCCAAGCTAAAACAAGCGCGTCTAATTGTTCCTCGTATTTTTGCTTATTGTCTTAAAATAAGACGATTACTATTGAACGCTATATCGTCGCATTACAATTACGTTGATTTTGATGTATGCATTTTTTCTGATTTTCAGGTTTGCTTTTTTTGTACATAAAATATTTGTTTATTATACATCAATTTATTTCTCAAATGTGTTTTTAAAGATTTTTGTGTAGATTAATACGTAAAAATCATTAAATTCATACAAGATATAATTTAAAATTTAAAAAACCAAATTTTAAAAATCAAATTTCTTTTTCAATATTTTAATTTTGTGAATATATATTTTTATTTCTTAAAAAAATCGAAAAAGATCACATATATTTCTTTTATGCAATTTATTCTGATATTTATTTTAAATCCCGATGATTATTAATTTTAGTTATACTTTAATAGGGAAATTTTCGAAATTAAATGTGTCTCGATAATTTATCTTCATGCTATTCAACATTGTTGAAGCCTTTAATTAACAGCTAATCGTGGACGATAGAAAATTAGGGCATAATTAAAGCCTTTACAATGGACTACTTAAGCCAATTGTGAGTTTATGCCGATTGCATTCAATTACTGATTCTCCATGTCGGGAATTCAATCATGAATTGAACGAACGCAAATTTAGATACGATTTCACAATACGCGAATCAATGTATGTTGCCTGCATCAAAGCATGTCTTATCGGATATTGTATTTGATTATACTGAAAATATTTGTTATATATATATATATATATATATATATATATATATATATAATTTAATTTTTTTAAATGAAGATGTTTTTATCATATCGATGGGATTAATTGTTTAAATTGATGGTTTAGTATAATTGATGTGTATAATCGTATATAATTATAATTAATATGATTGATTTGTAAAATGCTACATAAAGATGTGTATGTATATTTTCAGCAAAAAAATAATATAAAATCGATATTTTTTTCTATCCTTTTTTGTGCGTACATTAAGATTTACATGCAGTGTCAATTTTTTAATTTTTCACTACATAAGTAGAAAAATAATATTTTCAACGATCAATATCTTTTGATATAAGTACTTTCCAATTATTTGATTATTGAAGATGACATATATATATTTTTTTCCTATATAAATGTTTATCATTTTGTAGCTTCTACTAATGAAGAAAATAAACGGATAAAGAAAATAAGGGCAAATTGATCAATGCAATTGATCTGTGCGATGGTAGTAGGAAAAATTGAAAACTTAAATATCAGGTTGACCACAAAAACTTGTCTACAAATGTCATAAAATTGATTGTATAACGATATTATTCATTAATGTAAAAAGAACCTTATTTTAGGGCGGTTATTTAAGACACTATAAAGCAGGAATTTTTTTTAAGGAGTGCCGAAATTCCGAGACATGTTTAATTATGATAAAACTATAATTGCAGAGAAAACGTCGTGCAGAGATAATTCGGCGAATGATACAAAAAAAATTAAAATATAATTGCGGGAAGCATCATCTAAGAATGATATAGAAAGTATATGAATATCGCACCGATTATCGCACGGCAATTTTATGAAATATGAAAAATTGTCGGATTGAGCACTCCAGTCACGTTTTATTTTCCATTGAATCCACGTAGCATGCATTCCCAAGATTCGACCGCTCGTAAAACGTACCGTAAAGGCAATTGCTTCTCGCCTTTACGTTTCTCGTAAATCGGTTTCTCCCGATGCGGATTACCTAGATTATCAAGAGACGGTCAAGCGGAAGACCCTTTTTTCTTCCTTTCGAAAGGAAGGAGACTTTTTACACGTCGGATTTGCCACGAACCGCCCGCGCTTTCGGCATTAGCATCGACATTTACTTAGCTAAATGCCTTTTCACCCAAAATTATACACACGCATACACACACACACACACACACACACACACACACACACACACTTCTTCCATCGATAATGCGCACAATTCCATCGCGGCCGGCCGAAATGCGTGCGACATAAGTACATACATTCCTGCATTCTCCATTTTGATTTCTGATGCACATCGGCACGAGATTGTTATTAATTAATGGTGTATGGAGAAAATAGCGTTTCCCCTCCGACAGGAAGAAACCAATCAGTTCGGCAGTAACTCGATGTGTATCCCTTTTGAGATCAGAAAAGAGAAGGAATAGATTCGCGTGGGCGCTTTTATGTTTCGCGCATCCTTGCTTTACGGTATATATATATACATCTTGTAATCTGACGTATCGCTAATACATTGTAATTCACGATGCTTTTATAAGAGGTGCAATAATCCCAGTTAATTGAAAACTGTTAATTTACGGGGAGAAAATTGCAACTTTTTTCATTGGCAGTTTTTATTGGCAGCATTCTTTTCTCCTTTATAAAATCATGGCGAATTACATGCAACGTATCAACTAAACACACGCTGTCTTAATTTCTTTCGGAATCTTTTTATATCCCATACAAAAAAATGCAGTATCGTCCCGCGATCACATCTATTAGATGGAATTACGTGGAAATGCATTCGCGTAAACGCATGAGGAACGTACCGCGACGGATGTAAACTCCGAGTCGTGGCGCCATTTCCGTTTCCATTTACACCGAGGATATGTACAAAATGATGAGGGACACCAATAGACAACTCGAGGACAGTATCGGTCCCGCAGTCCCGGTCTGCATCGCTTCCGGTCGCTCGCCTGTAACACGAAGAGCAATCCTATTTAAGATTGCTGATCTCTTATAAATAACGGTCGATTCCATTTATTTAAATATATTTATCTCATTATGCAATTTATACGAGGGAATATCTCTCTCTATTTTCTCGCGCGCTTCGTCTTTTATCGTGACACGTTGGCGTTGAATTACCCTTCCAACTGTAACTCGGCTAACCGGCTATACATTTTTATTACGTCACTTCTGCTTCTGTTACGCGGTAAACCCATTATTATGAGAGGTTCTCGGAGGTTTATGCCAGGAATAAATAAACCATCCATCAATCTATCAAGTCTCATTCAGTGAATATAATCTACTTCACGCGAACCGGAAGCAGAGAAGGAGGAGTGAGAAAGGAAGGTGGGCGGGAGACAAGAAAGGGGAGCTGAAACGGCCGGGATTGCGGGTGTGATCCGGATAACGAGGGCTTACTCTATGCAACACGTGCCAGTGCCACGGATTGGATTTTTGCATGGAAAGTTATTGAAATACTAGTGACGTGTACACCGCGCGAGGAAAGTTTCTCCGATGTGACTGGTTGAAATTAATTGAATCGCACACGTTCGTTCCGCGTCGCGAAACGCGTCGCGAAACTTTTTAATGAATTTCAACTCGCGGGAGCGCGCGATACATCCGGATAAATGATCCTATTTTCTGACAGGCGCAATTTGCCGTACCGCCGCCGTACGTTTGTTTGTTTGTTTGTTTGTTTGGAATGTTGATCGCGGACGATTTCGTCCGCTATTGTAAAAGTTCCGGCCGAAAAGTACGGTGGCGGTGTGTATTAGGCTCGTCCCCTCTAATCCGGCGTTTTATCGGATATCGGTCACTTCGTAAAGCGAATCGAAGTACAATTTCCGGAGACGCGCGCCCTCCTCCCTGTCCCCTCGCTTTATCCGGATGATGCTGGACGCGAAATTTTCCGACTCGGTCCTCGTAAATTTTCCAAGTTTCGTGCCCACGCGAAACTTTGCTACGTTCCCGCGCTATCCGCGTTTCTTATCGCAACGCGAGAGATTTCGGAAAGACATTCTTTCCGAGAGAGAGACGACGGAAGAAATTGGGTAGAGAGGGGGCAGGGTTGAGAGAGAAGAAAGTAGGAGACGAACTTTCTCTAAAATTGTTTTTAACGCATTTTAACCGGAAACTCTTAGAGGAATTATTCCGGAATACGGCTAATGGCAAAGTTTTCGCACGAAAATCGGAGACCTATATATTTCTTTCGACGGGGAATATCGGTCGCACCAAAGACCGGACGAGCGCGCCTCTGTATGCGTGCACGAATCGAAGAGTAATTTCCGCCCCGTTCAAGCCGTATCAAGCCGGATAGTTGTAAATTTCTGCGAGCTTTTAAGATGTCGTATTCTAACGGACGGGTCGGGATTTTTCGACGGTGAAATTTTAAGAGCGTGTACTCTCGAGAATTATTTTTTGCCGTGCAATTTGTATTTTCTGCGACAATACGCGCACTAATCGGTATTGCGACATCAAATCGTTCGCGATAGATTTCGAAATAAATATCCCGGAAAAAATCAGGAAGATTTAAAGGTTACGGAAACTTAAAGCTCTTAGAATTCATTCCACTTAATGTATTTTGTTAACTCTCACAATTTACATTGAAATGACAATATATATATATAGCATGATGCAAATAGAAAGACATTAGAATCGTACAGTCCTATTTCTCTGAAGCTTAATTTAAAATAAAATAAAAATTTATCTTTAGAGATATTTATTATGGAAATTACTCTTTCTATTAAACCGTATCATAGTTTTGATAATATTGTTTTAAGTAAATGGATCTTTTATAAAGCACAGACAAAAGAGATGTATAATAGAAATTTTTATAAATATCCAACGCTAGCTTTCCACGTTTATAATTTCATTAATGGAATATTATTGGATAAATGGTTTCTCTTCATATCGGAATATATTCGAATATATATAGAGAATAAAATATCTACATAAAAAAAAATATCGTTCCCTTTTTGCAAGTGATCGCTTGTTACATAGTATACGATTACAATACGCTCGGATTATTTTCTTGTCCCACGATGTTCCACTTCACGATTTATAAATTCTGATGCGAGAATATTCACGAATTGAAATTGGTTCTGTACTCGCGCGATATTTTCGCGTCGCGAAAAACAGATCGAGGTAACGAACATAATTCTGTAATGTTTCCCGCGCGCGTTTCATTAATAAATTATTCAAGCTGGATCATCGAAGCGTTTGCCAACTCAGCTCTTCGCGAATGACGAAGGGCCTTATTATGCGAGACCGGTGCATTCGCTGCACTTGTGTATTCGTGCAGACGTTCGCGTATTTGTACGCGCGAACTTCGCGACTGCATAATTACCGGGAGTTGATTAGAGCGGTAAGTTTCGAAACCAAAAGCTGGGAAGGGACAGCTGCGAAAGCGTACATCTCAGACTGATATTATTTTCGAGATATCAGGAATTTCAAATTCTATACGGAATCTATATGTATCACACACGCGAGTAATTAGAGTAGTACGAATGCAAGAGACAATATTTTTATTTTCTCCTCTCGGCGTTATTCGTCCGATTTCCATTCTAAGCGAAATGGCGAAGCCATTTCCATTGCGTTCCGGAAAACATTTTCGATGCACATCGAGCACGGGAAGAGATTTTAACGATCATGGTCGCGAAATACCTCGAGTTTACGAGCTGGCTGTAAATAGTTAATGCTTAGAAGCCTCGCGCGAAATCCCCGAATACAGAGACGGCCAATAGAGTAATTCTGAACGCTGCAAAACGGGGACTGACGACAACTTTGGGAATTCCTGGGGCAGAAATTACAACTTTCGGAATGAATAGTCGATTCGGAGTCTCGGTATATCCTCTTACGTGCTTAGAAATGATGCCCCGTCATTACACAACAAGACAAAATTATCCTAAGTATATGGAATTGCACGCGTAAGCAATAGCTTTTCAATTTGACGCACGTTTTTACTATTTGTTAATTGTTTTCATATTTTCACATTTAATAAACATTCAAAGCGCTTAACGAAATTTTTATATATTGCAATACATTATTATTATTCTCAATAAATTCAATTGAAGAGCTCATGTTTAGTAACAAATTTATGCGTAGATATTATGAACGATACTTGTTAATTATTCGAGGCATTAGATTTGTTTATATAAATGTTGACGAACGCTGTACGTATAGTTTGACAAAAATTCCAAATTTACGAAACACGAACTTTGTAATTAAGTTACTTCGGTAAAAGTTTGATTAAACGGCGGGATGCAACATTTCTACGCGTCTAGTAACCTCTCGCAAATATCGTACTCGCGTCGTTCGTAAAACATCGCCGAGAAGTCGGAACTGACTCGCAGGAGCAAAGACTCACCATTTAGGACATGAACCCTGATGGACGCCGTATTGGCGTTGCTGGGCTTGCAGCTGTACTCCCCGGAGTCCGAGGGTTGCGCCGTCTGAATAAGGAGCCAGGAAGTGGTGACGTCGCCACCCTTCTCGGTTATCACCGAGACGCCGCCCCTGGGACTGTCGTAGCTCAGGGCGTTCTCATTGTAGTACCAGAAGATGTAGACTGGTGGCTCCGAGCTAAAGTGTATGGTGCATGTCAGGTTTATCGTGCTGCCAGCACCGACGTACAGCTCGGGTCCGCCCAGTATCGTCGCCGTAGGTACTGCGATAAAGAAAAATTTTCTTTCGCCTTCCTCTCTCTTTCTCTTATTCTTTTCCCCCCTTTCCCCAGGTTCCTCCACTTCCTTACTTCTTCCATTATTTTTTGCACTTTCCTTCGCTCTCGTTCCCTCTCGTTCGCTCGACCTGGATAACTCCAGAGATCGTGAAAGCTCTCCGCATGAAAGCCTTTCGGGAATGGTACTTAGCGAACGAGGGGAATGAAAGATCTTTAAAGTCGTCTCGTGATCTGTGAGGAGTAACGAGGTGGAGCTTCTTAACACAAGCGCAAGGTCAGTCTAATTGAAATAATGAGCGGGATGTCGGTGTTATTCCCTACCGAGAGCCTTAGGAACTTTATCGTTAAACGTTTCAATCGTCAAGCGTTTCTTTCCTTGCTGAGGAGATATACATCTATAGATATTTTCATTTTATACTAATCCTTTTTATTTCTTTACTTACAATCTGAATATTTTTCTAAGCATGATTGAGAATTAAGTTTATCCACCATTCTATGCATATTTTATATGACTCGATATATAATTATCGAGAATGTATAATTTTTTATGGTTATGCATTCTCTTTGTTGATTATTCAATATACATTTATTAAATTAATTTGACTATAAACATAAATAAAATTTTTTAAAAAGAAGAATGATTGATATTCTAAATCGAGAGAGACATTATATGAATTGGAAATTAAATACGTTCCATTACAATGTATAAATAATATTTTTTTAAATATTATTATATATGGGAAGGCACAAAGAACTATGTAAGATTAAATCATGCGAAAATATACGTAAAACTTACCAACGACGTTTAAATGAAACTGATACGACTTCATAGGTGCGGTGGAAATCTGACATTCGTAGATTCCCTGGTCTCGCTTTTGCGCCCATTTTATGCAGAGAGTCCACTCGGACCATTCGTGACCCGTGTTTTGTTTATGTAGCGCTTGAAATCGCTGGTCGCTCGTATATGTGTATGCTCCTGCCGTTAGAATATGGATATCTCTGTGCCTGACCCAGGATACCTTTGCAAACGAGACAATAAATATGATAAATGATAAACAAATAATCAATATACATAACACCCATCTTGCATGTTTTCAATTACATTTTATTTCGAAAAACAAAAGTAGAATTTCATGCATAGTATTATTAATATAAATTATCATTTTAATTATTTTTTTATTAATATCTGATAAAATTTATAAAATTTAAAAAATCTAAAATATAAAATCTATGAATAAGATAAAATTTATAAAATCTATGAATACTTTGAGTTTAAAAAGAAAAAAAATATTATTTATTTCTTGAAATTCTCAAAAAAAATTCTTTCAAAAATTAACTTTCATATTAAAAATTGTTATCACATATTTTAAATTTACCTTTAATCATCTTTTTTACAGTCATATCAGTTATATCTTGTTAGACATCCAATAAATACCGTAAATTCAAAATGATTACAAATTTTCGCGTATCATTTTCATAAAAGATAAGTAATCTTAAGTAAAGAAATGCTCTTCTTCAACTATTTAAAAGTTTTTAAATCATTTCTTAAGTTTTGCCTTTTAAAGCGGATGCATGTACAAATGAGAAAGTTGCTTCATAAATTTTATGCGTCACCTTAAGTGAATTTTTCCTGTAAGAGCGACTCATACTTTTGTAAGAATATACTCTCACATTGGAAGCTTACCTCGATAACTTTGAACCTAACCCGCTCGATTGTAATACAGTCTAGCGTCTAGTGAAGTGCTTCGTATATAGTATCTGATTTTATTGCGATTCCGCAATGGAAGGATTGAGAGAATCTATTCGTCTATTTCCGTACTTGCGCGGAAAACCAGCGATCCGTGCGCGAAACGGTAAGAAAAGTTGCGAAGAAAACTTTCCTGGGGAAGTTTTAGCGTCCCCTTCTCCTCTTGGCGCACGCAAAGGAGATTCCGTCGAACGCGTGGTGATGTCAGTGCAAAACTACGAGAGTCTTCGACGATTTTTAGAGAAAGTCTTCGAACGGAAAATAAAAGGATTTCCGCGGAACGAAACGATCCAGGCGTTCTCTTACATTGAATCCCTCCCTCAGAATTCTTCAAAAATAATATTATTCTAGGAGCCGCGCCCTTTATTCGAATCTTCTTGTATTTCTTTTACTCGACTGATTGTGAGATTTTCTATCTATTATTCTTAACTCTTTATCAACTATGTTATCTTGAAGGCAAAGTTAACAAAGTTACAATATGAAAAGCAAAATCAATATAATTATGACAGGAATCGAATTACGGGACAAGTTACAAAATAGCACAGATTAGCATAAAGAGTGGACTTGTATGAACTCTGCTCTTTTTATCATAAATATATTTAACATAGAATTAAATTAAATTATACATTGTTTATTATTAGAAGTTATAAGAAAATGTTAAATAATTTTCTTACATAATTTGTGAATGAAAACTATTCAGGAGGAGCAGCCATCTGTCTAAAGAAATTTTAATTATCATTCTAATTACATGAAAGGGACAATAAAGGGACTAATTTAATCGTAATCTTCTCTCTTGCGTGGAATAATAATACATCGCGATGATAAGTGGACAGGGACGAGAAATTAAATCTTTCTGATGAGGAAAGTTCAGTCACTTAAAAGTTAGGCCGTAAGAAGAGGCACTTCTCTCACGTCAAAGCTCATTGGCTGTCGTGATATTTTCAAAGACTACTCATTAAGCTTTTAATAAAGTGTATATATTTCTGTCAAAGTACATATTTTTATTCTTTTATTGTCTTTGAATATACAACATAATGATGAAGAGAAATAAATCTGTAAGACTTGAAGAGAAATAAATCTGTAAGGCCAAGGAAAAAAAGATCTTGTAATAATAATATAAATTATTATAATATATAAAATTACAACACATTTCCTGTGTTTGTCCGAGTTTGTATAATTAAATAACATTTTTTATTAAATCATTTTTATGTTAAATTTAATCAAAACACACCTCGCTCAAGTCATAATACCGTTAAATCAGAATGTCAAATCAAAGAATCGTCGTGCAAAATAATATTCGTGTCAAGATAATTTATCGCTGCCATCCGTCAGCCATCCATCCCGAAAGCAATCGCGGAGCAACGAGCGAACATTGGAACCTGTATAAGTTCGACGCGTATTAACGTCGGGTCCTCGCATGAAGCATGCATCCCCGAAGCGAGGAAATTTCAGAAATACATCCCCGTGGGTGGTCTTTAGCAGAGTGAGGTCGGAACTTGCCCGTTCGTCGATATTTTCACAGTGTCCGACCCCGTACGTAAACGAGGCGAGGAAGACTGCGGTGTGTCGGCGCACACGTACGTACGTACTACTGCCGTCCGCATACATGTATCCACATCCCGCCGTTGGCATCACTTAGCGTATTTACTCGACGAAGTTTACGTCTCTCGCGGCGTCTGGGCAGCTATCGCACGGGAACAAAAGCAGTTTAGCGCTTCCTAACTTAACCATCGGGACGAATGGGGCGACTCACAGACGGATACGAAGCGTCGGCACCCGCGCGAAACTACAAGGAGACGTCGGGAATGATGTATGTCGAACGTTAAGTGAAACTCGTGCGAACATAACAGGAATGTGGCAAATGGTTTCTCATATTGCTTGCTAGTTCTAGCATGTACATTTCTATTAAAAAAAAACAATATAAAAAGATTCGCAAAACTCTGCTAATCACGATTGTTCAAAATAGTCCGTATTGATATAACGCGGATAGATATATTTATTACAGTATAATTGAGAATTTTTTTGAATTCGTTATTAGTGCTCTTATATTTAAATATATGTGTACACACATAAACTCTGTATAATTTTAAAATTATTATAATTTTTATTAATTATAATTTTTTGTTATTTTGTACAATATATCAATATTTATCATTTTTTGATATTAATGTTGAGTAAAATTTAACAAAAATTTTAAAAATTTGGAAATCAAATATTTAAAAACGATTCTAACACTTTGTATGGTAAGATACATTTCTTCGATTTAGCTATCAATTCTATATATTCTCGAAATATTATTAGCAATTCTAGCAATCATTATATAAATGTTACGCAAAAATTGAAGTATTACAAGTCCTTTGCATTTTCCACAATAAAGAGAGGAATTACTCTTAAATTGATGCCGTTTTTGTTTATACTCTTATACATATGCATCGCGAATAAAATTCGCGTATATTTCATTATTTTATTTTCAATCGCCTCTTTTTTCACAAGCATCCTGGCTCTCGCGTCAAATGAATGCACGTTATATGATTCTGTTAGTTGATCATCTTCCCGGTGTTCGATCGACATTCGATCGTTTTTATTTACCGCGTTAGTCGTAAAATATTTTTTTCGTCATATAAATGTTAACCATCAATTCGTTGCGATATTGACGGCAGCGATTGGTAATGCATGCGCATCAACAGATATCTAGCGTGACATGCGTCAGGATATATTTCGAGTCTCGATAGCATCGAGAAGGTCCCTTTATCTTCGCAGAATATTTTATTTGAAATTATTCATGAAATTTTACATGAATTTAAAAATTGTATTCATCACAAAACAATTGTGAGAATTACATATGTACTCTCATATGACACAAATATTTACAATTATAACTATAAATATATATATATATATATATATATATATATATATATATATATATCATTTATATTCTCTTTTTCTATCTCAAAAAATAAAATTTTTTATTTATAATTTGTATCGTTTCAAGTTAAGCATATTTTAAAATTTTAAAATTTTAGTCTTACTATTTGTTATTCAAAATGCCATCGCAAAATTAACAATTAAAATTTATACATTTTTCGAAATCAAAAATATTCTGCCACTGCTTAATAAGTAAGCTCGTTAATTTGGACTTTGATAAATAGGATCTGAAATCATATCTTTTTTGAGTTTCAAATTGTTGTAATTATCGAAGGAAGATGAAAGAAGGCAATTCTATTATGTGGTGATGCATTGATTTATTGAGAAGAATTTTTTATAGCCTTCCAAGTTGTCGAAGAGAAGTTTGAAAAAGATGGGAGAGTTTAATTGCCGTATACCATTAGTGGAATTCTTACTCGTAAAAAAATTTTGCTTAAAAATTTCACTCAAATGATAAGTGATTTTCCGATAAATCTTATCAGTTATCTTGATGACGTGTATTATTGTAGCATTCAAGTTTCTTTCATTCATATTCGGCAAAATTGAACAACAAGACGCAAATGTAACAATCAGGCAATCTATGGGTTTCGAATATTCAGTACAGACTGAACAGAAATCTTGCAAATCTCTAACAAAAATCAATTCGCGAGACCCATATTTGCTAGAACTATCGATTTCCCTCCTTTCTCCGCTAAAGTCTACCCGCATGTGCGAATCTGCTCTGTCATAAATGCAGAGAGTATGAGATTACAACGAGAATCTGTTCGTGCTGTGACCTTTAGAACTATAAAATAGTATTATATTTAAGAGATCATACTATTTGAACAAAAATCACCTTAGAAAGTGCGGTGGATTGTGAGATGCTGAATAGTTTCGTTATTTTCTTGTTAAAAGATATAAAAATAATATTCGATATTTATTTTTTTTGTGATTTATTCTATTTAATATTTATAATTTAATATTTAAATTTAAAATTAATATTAGTATTTAAAATTTAACTTGTCTATACTCTATCTATTCTTTTATATAGATTATAAAAACCTTGTCATTATTATATAATGATATGAAATGGACATTTCAATTGATATAAAATAATCTGCGATTAAAGATACGTTAAAGATTTCAACAATAACTGTAAATATAATTTCAAGCTTGAATTTTTTTATCACGTATAGAATTATTGCAACAAGATTTATGCTGTAATATAAATTTCTGCATTAATATAAAAAATAATATATACAAATAGTTTGATCATTTTTAATAACAAATAATTTAATAATTCCATTGCTTCGATATTTTGTGGAATATTGTATTTTCACTTTTGTAAAATTTTCTTCTTTATCATTTTTAATATCTATATGACCGACATTACGTGGGATTTTGTGCTATTTTTCTCTCGATAATCCCGCTATCGTACTAATCAGACGAGCGTTTGTGTCATAAAATATGATTAAAAACTCCCTCTTTTAATATGCGAGCCACATCAAGCATGTATTGAAATTTAATCCATCGATGCTAAATGAAAATAATGCCGAGTAATATGAGTTTCCTGAAACATTTGATTGTACCCTTGCCTGTAGTTATCGAAAATATAAAATATGATTATATATCCTGCGTATTTAAAATATATAGAGTACAGAATCTCTCTAAATATATTGTATATATTAATAAAAATATACAATATGGGGAAACTTGATAAAATGTTATGAGATATTCAGACTTTTACAAAGATCATTAAAAATCTTTATGCAACAGAATACTACTGTCAGTTAATGAAAATAGTAACTATTCTAATTTTTTCAAATGACACATAAATATGCAATTTTAATTATTACAATTATAAGCAACATTTAAAAATTTTTTTTAGTACTTATTAGCATAATTAAAGAAATATAAAATGACTACTATTTTTTACTAACAATACTTTGGAAGGATGTAAATGTGAAATATAATCCAGACTAATACAACTATGAAATTGTCGAAAAATATCATTATTTTATCAAATAATTAAGATATTAGACTTGTCATATTTAATGCAATATTTAACAATTAATTATACACACAATCATCATTTCTAATATAAAATAACACGGAAGAACAATTATTAATGTAAAGGTGATAATGTAAAGATGATATGAAGTTTTTGTAAATTTTTTTTCTTGTGTAATGGCAATATCATTTAATACTTTGTGTAATATCATAAAACAAAATCCAATAGTAATGTTATGTCTAATAATTTGCAATGATGGACATAAATGGTTTAGAAATCTGCTTATTTTTATCTTTATTTTTAAATTTTATTACATTTATTATATCGTATATATAAATATAATGTAAACTCATAAAAAAGCTTAATAAAATATAAATATTATATAAAAAAGATATTTTCATTAATAGAATTTCGAGAAAATAGCTTGTACGAGTTTATTATTTTATGCGCACAGTTATAATCCTGTTCTCATTTAATACAAACAATAAATTTATTTAGGATTTAAGTTTTAATTTTACACAATTTTGCCATATTCGGCTTCAACCGGAGCACTCTTAACATAGACACATTGAATTTTTATAACATCATGAGCAAAGCACCAAACAGTAATACTCGATTTGTAAATCAGGATTAATTTAAAAATCATACATCATAAATGATATTAAGTTTCATATTTTGAGAAATTCTTCGAAGAAATCTTTAAAATATATTTTGTTTGTAAATATATATTGCATTTCTGTTAACAAGTTTATTTTAAGTATATTCTCTTCTTTTTAACAATCACTTATAATATTCCATATTTATTTAATTTATTTATATTGTTGCTTCTATTAAATTTTATAAAATGTTTACTCTAATTGAGTTTAAATTAAAAAATTGTTTAATTCAATTTAATTTTATTGGACAAACTTTATGAATAATATTCAGTTTAACAAAATTGTTTATATCTTTTCATCGAATTAAATCATACGTGTAATTATATTAATAACTTGTAAAATTTAAGAAATAGAGAAGAAAGTTATTATACACATCAGTTTAAGATGATTTAAATCTAAGATTTTAATGATTTATAATATAATAATTACTTTTGAGTAATTTATTTATATATGTATATTTATATATGTATATATTAGCTTTGCAACAAGCAGCCTCAGGCGATTAACCAACTTGTAAATCGGGTTCCGCGTGAGGCAGCTTAACCACTAGTGCACGAATAATTAAATTGCTTTGTGAGAAAGCAAAATCGCGGAAAAATTTTCGAGCAAAACCTTGATCTATTATTAAACGCAATTACCACGTAACGCCGCGAAACAACTATAAAGGAGTGCAAAGTCAATTTCTTTCTTCCATGTAATATTGCATCCGACGCTTTTACAGACAATAGCGCTTAAATTAAGTCTTTGTGCAGTTTTAATAATTCCGTTATGATTGAAAACAGCAGATATATAAGATATATTTTAAGAAATAAAACAAGCTTTGTGCACGATATTGTATTTACATCTTCTTCTTATAATATTAAATTAATTTCTTTTTAATATAAAAATTTAATGGAACGTTCCCTGTTTTTTTTTGCCCGCTCTTTTTTTAAATTTTTTAATATTCAATATTTTAGTAATTTTTTACGTGAGAAACTTTCTAAATCACTCTATTGAAATAAAATCTATTTATATAAGTTTTGTTATTTATTTATGCTATTAAAGCGAGAAAATAATTTAAGAAATAAAACTCTCTCTCTCCTTCTCTTTGTATTTTTAAGTTGTTAAATATTTTCTAAAACTATTAAAGTTCTTTTCATGTGAAAAAGATTAAAAAAGCTTAAAAAAATAATTTATCAGAATTTATCAAGATAAAAGAGAGTGCGATGCGTAATAATTTGTGTGACAATTTTTAATTTTTGTCAAATAATATTTCTCTGAATCTTTTTAATTGTTTCATAAAGCCTGGCATGGAGTTAAGTTTCCATGTTGTTGTGACAAGAATCTATTGTCATTAGAGTACAGTAACTGAATCTCTGCCTTGTACCAAGGAAAACATCAACACTTCGAAAGCGAATCCAAGGACTATCGTTATACGATATCCAACAAACGTATTTATTTAAATAATCAAACGGATAAAATTACATATATTTTACAGAATGTGTGTGTATTCGCATAAAGGATTATATTCTTAATAATGATCCACATTAAGATCGATCATTTTGATTACTAACAGCTCAGGTGATTTCTTTCAATAGAGATGGTAGTATTGCGTCTACGATAAAATTGAGTTTCCAGCTACCTCTAAGGTCAATTAACATCCAATCGACCTCCTGTGCAATTCGATTATATCTTGGGAATAGTTTCTCTTAAGATTGAATTTCTTTAATAAAAGGAGTGAAAGAAAGAAAGAGAAACTGTTTGTTTTCAGTTTAAATGTCTTCACAGATTTAAATTATACGTATATGAAAAATAAGTAATGCTCCGCATTAGAAAAATATGATATTATTAATATAATATTATCATCCATTATACATATATATTAGGTGTCGTATAATTAATATCTCCACAAAATGTAATATTATTAATATAACGTGTGTGACTAACAATGCAGAGTGATGTTTTCAATCAAAATGAAGTTTCTTGTTTACTTATGCACAATATTGAAATATGAATATTAATTCTAAATGCGAATTTGATGCACGAATTTTAGAATATACAATTTATGCACATATACATACATATACATATATGTATGTATGCGTGCGCGCGCGTGTGTGTGCAATATAATCAATATTTCCGCATTTTTTATATTTAGAAAAATAAACATATTAAGATGAAAGATGTTATTAAATCATAATTTTTACTATAATTTATAATTGTAACATTTTAAATAATGTGAGTACTACTTTTAGCTGAGAGCTCTCTATTTTATATTTTTTATATAATTTATAGTGATTATATAAACAATATATATATATGTATGTATGTATGGAAAAAAGCTCTTACGGTTTTGTCGCCCAAATTGCGAACTCGGCATGTGAGATATGCTGTTTTTCCAATCAGAGCTGTCACGTTAGTATTCTGCGAGAAGTCGAAGGTGGGTTCCAGTTTCGCTTTCACCTCGGGAGAATGATCCAGCAATTGTTGTCGTGGTCTGGTTTGAATCGCATGTCTGTCTATGTTATCTATCGTCCGATCTCCTAGACTCAGCGTATCTGAAACAAAGAGAAATTCGCTGATTGAGTATTCACAAGTTATAACACACGTCGAATGAGATATTAATTATAGTTAGGACACCGCATGTACATGTATGTATAAATGTATTTTATGTATTGTTCTCTCTTATCAATGAATTTTTATATATAATGTTTAACAAGAGAGTTTCTAAAACTGCTATCACATTAAAATTGTAACAAATTTTATTTGAGTTTCTTATTATTGTTTTAAATAAAGGGCATGTGCGTGAAATACATTTGTGATTGACATTTCCAATTATAGAATTTCAATTTGTACTAGAATACATGAATAGAATATTTTATCTATATCCTTTAATTTACGATTGATAAATCAGCTTTTAAAACCAGATAAGCGATTAGTGAAATTTCCGGTTAATTGAAATCTCCAATGGCAGCTATTAAATACACGAGCGAGGAATAACGAAGCTCTGAAATGCAACATCCGCAAACGTTTACAACTCTTTGAAAAATACGCAATATTCTCGGCAGCGCATTTTTCCTAGAATTATTCGCTCCAAGTTCCAATAAAAACTATCAAATCTTTTTGTAACTTGAAAATCGATTTTTTTATCAATTCTCCCTCTATTTCAATACTCGCAGAAGCTAAACGCAGGTAGCGACAGTTTGATACGCAGGCGACGATCGTAGTATTCCTCCGAAATAGAGAGCGATTGGCGTTTCACTCGACAAATCGAGGCTATTGATTCCGTCTATTCACTCTTGCCGCATTCGCCACTATTGCACGCATTTGTATCTTTTCTTGCATGTGATACGCTCACGCGCTTGCAATAATTTTTGTTATATTTTACTACGATCCTCTTATACGCGGAAACTTTATTACAGTGAAAGCTTTAAATTTGTAACATTTGCAACATAGTCGACTTAAGGGCGAATTTATATAAATAGTGACATTTGAATTTTAAAAGTCTTCAATTGTCAGTAGATGCAATAAAAACTAATAATAATTATTCAATAGGTTTTTCTAATCTATTCGCAGCAATAAATAATTTTACCAATATACATAATAATTATTTGAATAACTATTGAATTTTATTATATATTATATGAAATAGAATATAAAATATCTTTATTCTAACATTTTTTAATCAAAATTATATGTTTGTGTTGAAACTTTCAAAGATTTTAAATTTTGTTAAAAGTCATCGTCTGCACTGAATACGCTTTTGCTTTGCGATGTTGAAGAAATGAAATTGTTATATACGAAGCTTTTTCTCTTTCGGTTGTTTATTCAATTTCTTCTCTTTCTATATTCAGTCTGTTCAATCTCCTTTCTTTCTTTATTTTATATGTATTTTTTCTTCCCCTCTCCCTTCCTTTCTCTCTCTCTTTCTCTCTCTTTCTTCTGTAATTAAAGAAATTACTCTATATGCGAAATTGCGAGAGTAAAGCGAATTGTCATTATTCGTATATATTTACATTAAGAAAGGCAACGAATATTTTAATAAGGATACATGTGTGCAAATGGCGAGCATCGATGAATAACTTTCGGGATTCGTTCCAGCCAACTGCGGACCATCGATTTTCGAATCGCGTATAAATATCAATTTATGGGAAGCAACTGCATGATAACAACACAAGTATCGTTAAAGCGCAACGAAATGGAACGATCTAATTGTATCGAAAAATGGAAATCGTTTCTTATAAAGCAAAAAGAACATAATTTAACTAATGTAATTTTATCAATGATAAACACAATACGTATATTAAGTAGAAATTTTGTAAAGAATACATCATGCATAAATATAGTATTTTAATATCTGATTTTTGTTAATTCCTTTGATGCTCAAATATATCATAAACATAATTTAGTAAAAAAATGTAACATATTTTATGCAGCTTGATTATTTTATTCTCTATAGGGAATTTTGCTAAGAATGTTATAAATATTAAAATTACATTTTCTCTCCTATTTAACGTGTTAACACTTTTCTCTCTCCTGAAACTATAAAACATAATACAACAAGTAACTGTGTATAACAAGTGGTTTGATGTCATGAGTGGTTAAACTATTCACCTCAAAAGTTCTAACGTTGATTCTAAGTAATATGTACATGTTAACTTTTAATTAGAGTTACGGAAAGTTACGAAATGCACAATTTACGCTACGATATTTGAAATAATATAATTATAGTAAAAAGAGCCACGTATCAAAGTATACTTTAAATATTTGGGAGAAAATAAAAACAATAATTTCTATTTAATCTTAATGTATTTAATGAAATACAATCAACTATTGAGAAAATTTAATAGGATTACCGAAGACCTATGTAGTTGTGTGTTGAGATGCTGCAAAATGGTCTATAGCACTCGCGCACTTTGTGCACTGCAAGTTGTTGAGTTAGAAATGCACTCAGGAACGGTCGATATATGTTTCGAAGTAGCAGAAGTGTTTGCTTAGTGTTTGAAACTAACTCTACTGCATATTCCGGATTTAATGGCCAAAGATATATCTTGCACTGTCATACAAATTCCATATTTAAAGCATTTTAATTAATTGTTTCCTTTTCACATTTCGGCTTTATTCTAACTATAATATATTAATTTTAGTATAAAATATTTATATCTTTTAATTATATTAAAATAATCAAATAAATAATAGACATTAAATCTTGGATATTTTACATATCTTATATTCTTGATATTTTATTTTATCCTATTACAATAAAAGAGTAATAAATTAAGTGAAAAATTCTTAATCAAAATGAATAACACATAAAATACATAATAATTGGAAACAAAGATTCTAAAAAGAAATCACGATTAATTGCGTTTAATCAATATATAGTTAATATATGGATGAATAGGTTTAACAATCAAATGCATTCAACGTATCTATAGTTTAGTAATCAGAGAACTGTAATAGCTGCGGGATGTAGCTATAGTCGGAGGAAGATTGGATAGAATTAGATTAGATCAGAGCTCATTACGCTTTAGCTTAAGAGTGAATTAGGTAGAGAATGAGTAAAGGACTCTACTTCCGTTTGAGATAAATCTTTCTTCCTTATTGTTTTTCCTATAATACATCACGTGAATGATAATGGCACTGCCATCTTGAAGACAATGGCGATGAGCCGCAATGTAATAGTAGTAGTATTTTGTCTCTCGAAACATTGAATTGAACTTTAAGACGCCGACGTAGCTCTTCAGCTTTGGCATCTTCGCAAGATCTGATAGACGACACAGACGATAGCAAAAGTAGCACATTTCTTCATATTTTCTCGTATTTTTCAAATCTCTCCTCTCGTAAACTCGATTTTCATTTTTCACAACTTTTTTTCATATCTGAAAAAATATTATTTCAAATATCTTTGCAACAAGCTTTAAAATATAAAAGTATAAAACTCATTTTAATTGAAACTTTATATAAGAAGAAACTTTGTATAAGAATTTTCACATTTTATTAAATTTAATTGAAAGAAAAGATAACAAGCATTTTTCTGTATCGATCTTTTTTAATATTTGTTATCGTGACGACAAAAAATGCATGCATTCACACACATGCATTTTATAAACGAGTCAGATAATTATACTGCTTGTTTATTTCGACTTTAACGATAAAATCGTTGAAGCTTCATTTCTCGTGAGACAACAAAGGAGAGTAAGTCGAGTTGTTAGTTTGATGTCAACGTACTCAAGTGGAAACGGTAGATTGTAACCTCCCTAATTAACGCGGACGTACATATCACAACAAGCGAGCAAAAGCTGATAGTCTGTGGAAAACTTTGCACTTCATTAGCTTTCCACTGTGATACGCCTCAGGTGCAGTAGTCTCGTGCTTTTAAAACTTTAACAATGTGATATCCGTAGAGAAATGTATGTATCTATATATGTGTGTGTGTGTATACTAGTGGTAGATGCTTGCGAATCTCGATATACGAAGACGACAGTGATGATATAGAACAGACGAGTTCTGGGAAAAGCCAAAGAGAGGAACTCCCCGGGGTGCATGGAAAAGCTCGCTATAAGCTCTTAGTTACCGCTACAAAATTAATTAAAGCAAGTGCTCACTCAGGTGGATGCGAGATATCAAGAAATGTCCTTTTGTTGACCACACAGCGATTAATCCGCATCATTTCGCGAGAGAGATAATAAGCGATGGATGTTTTCCCAGATAAGTCGCTATATGTGCATTTCAAATTGAGAGAAAATGTTATTAAGATAAAGATTAAATTATGCGTCACTTATGTAAGACATTGTTGAGTGTTTATATCTTGCTCGTCACCATTAAGACATCGCGTGGCATGCTAATACTGTATAATATAACAGTTGCAGTTTGCATGCATCTTGAAAAGTATACCGTCATTATAGATTGTTGAAATTCTGTTCGAATTTTGTCAATTCATATGATCTATGTACAGTACGCGCGATAATTATTCTTACAAATAATTTGTTCGTATCTCCGTAATGTACATTATTTATATTTCTAATAAGAAAATAGATCAATTAGATAGTACAAGAGATCATTAATATTTAATTCTAGATGATTAATACTTTATAATTTTTATTCTACAATATTAATTTTTTTCTAGATTATTGATTTCGGATAATGGAGAATATGGAGTTGAATAAATTTTAATATTATATATGAGATATATAATATAAGAATTTATAATTTTAGATAAAATATTTTCGATAGAAACATATTACATATTCTTGTTATTTTGCGAATGTTGATCTGTTTAATGAATATGGAACGTTCTGCAAAAATAAATCTTTCGGAACGAAAGGCAGCTTACATACAAATTATATTCAATAGAAAGAAAAACATTCCACGAAGTAAGATTATTCGCGAATAGATTTGTAGTATAACTCGGGCAATTTTCATCAATTTATAGACGGCTAGCCGTTCAGCAAATTGCGAACCATTCGTTTTCAGTGAGTTAAGGAAAAACTGGATTTGTCGGCGGGTTCATGTCGCTTCCTTTTTTTCAGAGCGACTCTCAGTAATTGCGCTCTCC